CCATCAGAGAACTACCATCTCAGGGCAAACTACCACCCTGAAATCTGGAGAGATGAGAATCATCCAGACAGCCACAATTGTAATTTTCTTACCTGGAATAGAAGCTGCTGGAGCCATAAACTAGTGAAGATTCTTCAATGTTAATTCTGACAAACCACTAGAGTTTGAGTATAGACTAGCCAGAAAATGAGATATAGTGTCATTGTTGTAAAATACATCCAGGGGTTTCCCCACAACAAAGGCCTACGCTCTAAGGAAAAAAGACTTTACCAGAGCCCCATCCCACCTGGGGCAAAGGGATTTGTCCCACTTCCATTCCCTTTGGTCTTCCTGTCTCATCTAACCTGGCCTGGGGTGAGGGGATGACGGGGGATTGGAGGAGTGGGGGAGGTTGAGACACTTAACCCAGGGATGTCAGCCTATTGAAAAACTGAAATTTTGATTTTAGGATTACAGGACATGTTCCGTCCTCCACATCTCATTGCCACACCATCAGGGTTCCAGTATATAACAGTGGATTAGAGCCTACTGAGCTGCAAGATACAGACTTTCTCTGAAAAGAAGCATTTGGGGAAGCCCCAAGTCAAGTAGGACATTAAAAACAAGACCAGTAGAGGGAGCCTTTGGCATATACAACTTCAGCACACATTAACTGTAGTTCAACTGCTGCCCAGTTTATCCTAAAATTAACACTAAAGGCTTAGTCAATTTCTAATATACAAAAGGTTATGTTATTTTCAGCAATAATTACAATGCATGTTAAGAGGCAAGAAAAATCTGAAATGTTAATTCTGACAAACCACTAGAGTTTGAGTATAGACTCATACAGATATAAGGCTATTCAGATTTTTTAATACTTGAGTGAGATTTGTGAATTTTTTTTAAAAAAGGATTTTTTTGTTTGATCTTTTAAATTTATTGGCATTAAGTTGTCCATTATATTCCCTGTTACTTAATAATATAGGATCTATAGTGATGTCTCCCTCTCAATCCTGATATCGTTGCTCTTTTTTCTCCTTATTGATCTGTTCAGTTTTATCAATGTTAACCAGACATTTAATTTTCTCTGTTGTTTCATTGCTATTTGATTTCTATTTTTATTATTTCTTCTCCTTTAGCTTTAGTTTTCTTTCACTAATTTCTTAAGGGGGAGCTTAAATCATTGATTTTGAACATTTTTACTTATTTACTAAGTATTCAAGGCTAAAAATCTCCCTCTTTAATCCCCTGCAAGGACTTCATTTCAGCCATTCTCCCCTGCACCATTTCCCACTTCCTACCATGCCCTTCCTATCCTATTACAGCGTGTTCTCAATATGCCATTACAGTTCGTATCATAAAGAGGAGAGAGAAAAACATCCTCATGTGTCTGCAAATCTTCCTCAGGCTATCATTCTTCCACAACATCTCTGCTCTTGATGTGGCATCTCCATCTCTCTCAGTCTCTATGACCTACTGTGTTTGCATGTTTACACTTTTTTCTACACTGAAATTGCTTTTATCAAAGTCACCAGCATGTTTTCTGTATACAACAATCAATTCTCCCTCTTCTCATTATTCAGCAGCTTTTGACATCCTTTGCTACTGGCTCTCAGCCCATCACACTCCTCTGGTTTTATTTCTCTTTTCATCAACTTTTTCCCCCTTTACAACCCTTGCTTGCAGTGCTCCAGGGCTCAGTCCTCAGCTACCACCTTTTCTTCTTGATCTATATCCACTACCCGAGTACCCCTCACCCATTCCTAAAATTTGAAGCATCTCCTGTATTCAAGGTATGCTATATTATTCACAATTCATAGTGCATTTTTCTCAAAATAATACTGTGTGTGGTTAATTAAATGCCCTTCAAGTACCAAGATCTCCACCATCATATTCTTCTCCATTTTAAAGTGTCAAAGAAGTGTGCATGAGCATTAGGAGTTATTTCTGTTTTTGAAGAAGCCCTAAAAGAATGAATAGTTTTACTCTTGTAGAAGCAGGACTTATAGTGATCCACACTTAAGTGGCAAGCAGCACCATAGGGAGGACCTGACTGGAGTTGAGAGTTTATTATGGTCATCGGAGAACATATTAAATCCTCAATCCTACTTAGATTGGGATCATAATCCAGTTGAATGGTTTTTCTATTCTGCAGTTTCAATGAGGTGAAAGTAAAATAGATACTTCTTTCCACTGAAGGTTTCTCACATTGAGGTCACAGAGAAACCTCCATTACAACAAAATGTCAAATAACAATTAAAGAGGGCCACAATTTTAATGTGGAAAGGGCCTGACACACAGGGGATGTGTGCCTCTTTCCCTGGCTTACTAGTTAAAAGAACAGAGCCCTTGAGCCCTTGGTTTTTGATGCAATCTTAGCCAGAAATATGGTCAACATAAACCTGAAGAGCTTCATTTCAATCCAGAGTGAACTGGCATCATATGACCTTGAGTTACAAGTCATCACAATACCCTACATATCCTAATGGTAAAGGCCAAGCTCCATGCCTTAGCTACAGTCTCCTCACCATGGGGAGGAAGAACAAAGGGACTCTATAGGCTACTCAGGACCACTGGGGAGAAGTAAAACTGCATTCTCCTCTTTACCTGACTCTGATCCTCAGCCATTATCACATGATGTTTTATAAATTCACTATTTTACAATTATTTAGGAGGTTTTTCAAAGTAAGATTTTAGGACCTTAGAATTATTCTCTATTTGTTTTAAGAAATCGCAAGAAATTTTCTGTACCAAAATATTTCTGAACATACAGAGATGAATTTTAAATTAAAGAACTTTAAAGAATTTTAAACTAAAGAACTTCTTTTTGAAAAAGTCTCAAGCATCTCCTGTATTCAAGGTATGCTATATTATTCACAATTCATAGTGCATTTGATCGGTTATAAACAACAGACTATATAGCCATGTTTTAAATGCTCAAAACCCAAATAGATCCTGAAGGAAAGACTACTCCAAAGAAGGGGAAACATGGGAAATGAGTAGTACCAAATGATCTTTTTATTATTCAATGAAAAATACAGGTCTGCAAAGAGTCTACTGCATTGTGTATGGAATGCAAGGTTGGATGTTGAAACTGTATAGGACGGAATGTATAACTTTTATAAACTGTTACATATTTTACACACAGACAGTCCCCAACTCTTCTAAAATTTACTAGAAGTAAAACCTCTTAATATATAAGAAATATAAGCATTTGTAATCACAAGCAAAATGTTCTAAGCAAAGCACTTCAAAATATTTTTTTGTGACATCTACCTTGTCTACCTGGAAGTAGGAATGGTGGGTCCCAGAAAAAAACTAAGTAAAAGCCAACACCCTTGAGGAATTATTCCCAGGAAGCAGGCTGCTGGTACCCTAGACAGGTTGCCACCCAGGCTAGTTGGCAAAACTTCAGTGTCACCCTGGGGCCCACACTAACTACTAAACCCTGTTTGGGGGCTGGGCTGAAGTAATTGGAAGGAGTACTAGTTATAAGGAATCTTCTGTCACAACTGCATACGTTGCATCCACTCTATAGATAAGAACACCTTGCTTTTCCGGTGTGAATCTGCCACTCTCAGCAGTCACTGGAATGTGCTTGAGAAGAAAATTAACACTGGGAACACAAATCATTTTCTATGCATTCTGCAGATGACATCAGTACTTCCTTTCAGTCATGTTTTCAAGAAGCTCAAAAGGGCCACTGCTACTATAACACCTAGGCCAGGATCAAGGCAATTGGACATCTCTGGTTATGATTACTCAAATGAAATAAAAAGTACAGCTTATGTTAGAAAACAACAGAATCAGTATCAATTAATTACAAGGCAATATATTTAAGCACTGCAACAATATTCAAAATTCCAAGGTCAATGTTAACTGTCCACATTTTCCTCTAAACAGAAAAATCCTGCATGGAGGAAAGCATGCAGCACCAACACCAACTCCTCTCCAGTTATTACCAGGACTCAGAAAGATCCATATAGATAACAAATGCAAAAAAAAAAAAAAAAGGCATTTCAATACAAACATAGCAACAGAGGAAGTCTACACCTCCCTCTAGGCTTCCTTGGCAGATGGCAAAGCAGCCTGTTTGAAACAAGTGCCTGAACTGACCATGGCAATATTCACATTCTAAGAGAAATCAGGGTTACATCATTCCCTTATTCATAGGTAACCAAAGATTATTAAATAATTTCCTGAACTAAGGCAATAGTCTGACCATAAAAAACTTCTGAGTTTTTATTAAATGAGATGATAAAATATTCCAGCTTCTTAATATTAAGTTATTGGTGTACAGAGAACTTGATCAAAGCTCAAATATGAATAATATTAAAATCTCAGATTTTAGATATAGGCAAATATTTTATCAGAGTATTCACTTAAGAGATTTATATATAATTCAGGCTGGGGATGTAGCTCAGTTGTAGAGCACTTGCCTACCATGCATGAGGCCATGGGTTCAGTCCTCAGTACCACAAGAGAGAGACAGAAAGAGCAGAGGGAGAGAAAACGGGGAGGGAGAGAAAGAGGAAAAGGGACAGAGACCATGTTCTGCTAAGAATAAATCCCAATTCTATGGGCATCTTATTCCCCTTAATTTTGTACAGTAAAATTCACTGTTCAGTTACTAAGTCCTTGTCTCTTCTAGTCCAAGCATAATCTTGTATAAAGCCGGAAAAAAAAAAAAAAAAAAAAACTGAACTCCATCAGAAAACACTAGTACTGGTGCTGTAGTTACCTTTAGGGGAATAATTACAATTACTTATTAGGCTGGTAGAAGCTCTACTCCTTTTTCATCTCTAGATTGAGATATTCTAGTATTTTAAACACAGTGAGGTTTCATTGACAAAAGTCTAGTCCATGAGTAAGGTTCTGGCCTCTGGAATGATGTACAGTTTGCTCAAAATGCTGAATGCACTTCTATTTGAAACATGTTCATTATTCTTTCCCATCATGGTTCTGTCACATTCATTCATCTAGTGTGTCATATTGAACCCTTCATTGCTGTTTTTTTTTTTCTTTTTCTTTTTGGTGGGGGGGGACCTTCTTCTAAAAAATATATAGGATTCACAGAAGTATCCCTTTAATGTATAATTTCCATTTCACACTATCAGCTCCCCAAAGACAAAAACTGGGAAAAATTTCCAGTTAGTAAAATCATAATTCACTAGGATTTCCTCTCCATAAAGGAAATTAAAAAAAATGTTATTTAGAAGCTGAACAAACACCTTGGATATTCTTCTAAAGAGAACGCTATATCACTGCTACCAAAACCCAGATACCTAATAAATCTAAAGATTATATGGATATGTAATAGCAAAAAATCTGGCAGTTTAAAATACATTTTTACAATTTTATACTATACCATTTGGGTAAAGGAGCTGTTCAGTATTGTTAATGACAACCTTGTCTGCCTGGATGCTGGCTGGCTAGATTCAGCTGAAAACAGTAACAGGAGCAAATGAAAAGTGTCCAAGAACATCCTTTTGGCTTATTTTCCTTGAGCTTTTGGTCACATTTCCACCAGCTCCAGGGAAGCCTGTCCCAGGGTACAGTTCTCAGTTCTCTGTTCAGCTGCTTAGGGATAAAACATGGGGCTTTACCTCACCTAATCCAGCACCTGGCACTCAGATAGTAAACACTGCAGCTTTAAACTAAGAAAAGACTCAAAGACTTTGCACAATTCTCGATTTTGTACTTTCCAAGGAAATAAAAAATTAATCTTAAACTGAATTTATACTTAAAAAATGCAGTGCCTCAAAAAAGCAAAATCTAGAATGGAAAAATTTCAGGAGAATATACCTTATTAATCTAATCTTATTTTGGCTAAATTATCATAGTAAGTCAGTGTAATTTATTATTGTATTGAGCAGCACAGTCTACCATGTTTTGCTAAGATGGTATTAGTGAAATATATGTGAATGGTTCAGAGGTGATAGCCCTTTAGCCTTTTGTGAATTCATAACATAAAAAGATAAAGGCTAACTAGAATTTGACATTCAGCAATTTACTTGCTTAGCACAAGTTGAATCAGGAGACAGTTAAATATCAGAATCTCATTTACTTAGGATATTGAGAAGTTCCCATCTGGATCCCAGTGCTTTTCAGCCTTGTCACACATTGGAATTACTTGGAAGCTTTCAAAAATTACCAAATGCTCATGCCAATTAAATCTGGAGTGGAGAGCCCTGAATCAGTATTCCTTCTGTTTCCCAGGTGTCTCTAACATGCAGCCAGCACGCAGACCACTGAGGCATCCTTTTGAGAGACCTGTTTCTTGAAAGCCAAGCAAATGGAATTCCTATCTAGATAGCTTTGCTTTTCCAAAATTCCACCAGAAAAGGGGATTTCTTTCTTTCTTACTCTTTTTAGAAAAAGGCACTGTTGTGCTTCCTCTAATGACACAGCCTGCTGTTGGTAGGAACTGACTGTCGGAGGTTATCTAGAACGTTGGTGGTAAAGAAGAAAGTCCTTGTCTTGGCAGAGCAGGCAGAATTTCAGGCTTCGGCAGCTGCCTCCAGCAACAAAAAATGCCCAGATGCCCATGAACACCATGATTACGTATGCTGACACCAGATTTATTCCATAGTGAGGACTTAGGAAGGTCTGCAAAGAAAAAATAAATCAACTTGGGTAATAATACAAGCTTATTAAACATATGGAATAACCAAAGACGGGAAAATATGGAATATTCTCAAAAGCTGGACTGTGTTTCATCAAACTACAATACATATCATGTGTTAAGAATCCACAAAAGCATCCAGAACCAACTAATCAAGAAAGACTTGTCTGTAGATCCTGTGCTTTGCTAGCTTCTACTGACAACCCTAGAAGATAGTCACTTGCCAAAACCTAATGGAATACTCAGTAGAAGACACATGTTATAATCTAGCCCGGGTTAGTATCCATTTCTGTGTTAATTGTCTATTAGAATTTTCAAGAAAGTGAGGCAAGTCCAGATTAGTATGAATCCTTAGTATTTAAGGAAACATGTGGAAATTGAGTCTCTTTTACAGCTGGACAATTGCTATTTTACAAAAGTTTATTCATTTACAAAATACTGATAGGAGCCAGGCACCGTGGTGCATGCCTGTAATCCCATCAGCTCGGGAGGCTGAGACAGGAGCATCTCGACTTCAAAGCCAACCTCAGCAATGGCAAGGCACTAAGCAACTCAGTGAGATCCTGCCTCTAAATAAAATACAAAATAGGGCTGGAGATGTGGCTCAGTGGTTGATTTTAACCCCTGGTATGCTCCCTGACCCTGTCCCCCCAAAAAAAATATTGATGGAGGTGTAGTTCACTGTAAAGTAGATATTTAGCATGCACAAGATCATGGGTTCAATATCAGCCCTAAAACAAAACTAAACAACCACCACCACAACAAAAACCTCTCATGGAGTGCCAAAAGGCACTGGGTCATGCATTAGTGAAGACCAGAGTCTTCATGCTAATGGAACTTATAGACTAGCCAGCAGGGCAGGTAATGAACAAAGAAGTTAATTACAAATCATGATGAATGCTAAGACAGAATAATTATAATTGTGATGATGTTAGGTATTAAGAACAGGCTTATATACTTAGGTTGGTCAAGGAAGGTCCTAAGAAAACAGCATTTAAACAAAGATATATGGGAGAAGTGAGCTAACCCTCTGTAGGCCACAGGGAGGAATCAGAGAAGGAGGCAAAGAGCTGGATACTATCGATAACTGAGAAGAGTCAGTATTAATGATGGTTAGGAATGTGTAGGATCAGCAGATGAGGTCAGAGAGGAAGGCCGGGGTCAACTATGCAATGTTTTGGTAAGGAGCATTAATTTTGTCCTCAGTGCAATTGTGGATCATAGAGGGGATTTAGGTTGGGGTCTTGAATGACTTTAGATTTTTTAAACTGAAGAGAATGAGTTAAATGAGGCTATGGTGAGAGAGAGAGAGAGAGAGAGAGAGAGAGAGAGAGAGAGAGAGAGAGAGACTAGTTAGTAAGTTACTGCACTGAATGAGGAAAGTAAGTACAGGATGGTGACTTAAGATCAGGATGATGCGATGGAGATGGAGAAGATAATATGAACAGACAGAAGTTGCTAATGGACTGAATGTGAGGGGAAGGAAGAATCCAAGATTGACTCTCACATTTCTGGGCTTTAGGTAATGGTGGTGACATTTAATCAAATGACAAAGACCTAAGGAAGACCAAACTTGAAAAAATTGGCAAAACATCAAGCTTGGAAAGATAGGTGGGAATCAAGTCTATCAAGGATACATTAAGAGTAACATCCCATGAGATTTTGAAAGGCAAATTCAGATAAGTGGTTGTATATAGAAATATGGGGCTCAGAGGAGAGTCCTCAGCTAGAAAAAAAATGTAGAAGCATAGCCTACAGAAGGAACTTGGCCACAGCCATGATCGTGATAATGCAGGGAGCTATGGTCTCTACAAAGAGATGGTAAGAGACAGGGCTTCAAGACTGTACCCTGAAATAATGCAACACGTATAAATTATTTGTAAGAACAGGAGCCAGTGAAGGGGTCTGAGAAAGAGTAAACAGTGAGGTAAGAACAAGTCAGCACAGTGTGGTAGAGCAGAAGTGAAAGAGGGAAATGAGCGGGGTGGTCAACTCTTTTTAAAGGCTGCTGAGATGAAAAAAGAACAATGTTGAAAATGAAGGTTCTTTTCGACCTCAACAGGTACAGTTTTAAAAGGACTGTTGAGCAGAAGGCACAAGGGGCTGGAAGTCTGAGTAGTAAAGAAGTGGAGACAGAATTTGTGGAGATCTGCTGTGATGATAAACAAATAGGGAAAAGGCAGTACTGAGGAGTTTTATTTAAGCCATGTCTGTGTGCTGATGAAGAGGGAAAGGCTGGCCATGGAGGACAGGGGCACAACCAAGGGAGGGAGGTCCTCCAGCAGGGGACAATGGAGCAGGGCTGGAGCCCAAGTGGAGGGACTGACCTTGAAAGGTGGGAGGGACACTTCCTCTGTTGGACCAGGGTTGAGCTGGGGGTGTGGATTCCCATGTAGTCCAACCATATACACTTAAAGAAGGAGAGGATCTGACTCAGTTTGTTACCTTTAACACAAGCGCTTTCAAGTATCTCCAAGGTGCCTGCACATTCCCTTGGCTAAGGCACTTATCTTGACCCATCGGCTCTGCCCAGGGAAATGCGCTGCCCGCAGGGCAGCACCTTATGCAGAAAGAATACTTTTCTCAAGAGGCATCTGTGGGCATGGCAGGCACTGAGCATTTCTGATTATTTTTTCGGAATAACTTTATACTCAAGTCTCATAATTTAATTTATATTGTAGAAGGCTAAACTTGTTTTGCTTTTTCTTTATAGTCTATTTCTTTGAAAAACATTTTTGTCATTTAAACAATTAAAAAAAATTCATGATTGTTGTAGAAAATTAGAATATACAAATGAGTGTATATATAATATATATATAATATATATATATAATATATATATATAATATATATATATTATATATATATATATATAATATATATATTTTAAATATTTTTAGTTGTAGGTGATACAACACCTTTATTATACTTATCGTTATGTGGTGCTGAGGATCGAACCCAGTGCTTCACACATGCTAGGCAAGTGCTCTACCACTGAGCCCCAGCCCCAGCCCTATATATGTATGTATACACACAAATATATATGTACATATACATAATATATATATTATTTTAGTGAAACAATTACTTAAATGGTTTTTCTCTGAAATCTGTCATTCAGAGATAACTATTGTTAACATTTTGGTAATAAACATTCGAACTCCCTGGGTTCTTTTAAAACCATTAAATATGATAACATCCACCATTAATATTCAATCACTATTTATTGGTCACCTATGTGCCAAGGATTGATAAAAAGACTGACATAGTAAGATCCCAATCTTGATGATCAAACTCTAATTGAAGAGAGATGTAAAAACTGTATTAAATAAAGTAATTCCAGCTAAGGACAAATGTTATAAAAGAGCAGTGAATAAGGTCCAGTGATAGTGCCAAGTCTGGAATGTGCAGCTTTTCCAGATGGGCTTTACAAAGAATGATCTAAGTTAGGGAGAAGACAAAGCCCAGTTGATAAGAACTGTGGAGAGCAGCGGGAGATTAAGTTTTGCAGCAGCAAGACTGATAAGAAGCTTAGGTCAAACAAAGAAGCCCTGGTTTATTCCATAGGCTTCTGCTACAGATAATGACTCTCTACACTTGGCTTCAAGGACATGTGGCTCTCCGGGGTTTCTTACTTCATCCTACCTCACTGTTTCTCCTTCTCAGTCTTCTTTATTGGCCCCTCCTCTTTTCCCCAAACACACTGCTGGAACATCATGGGGCTCAGTCCTTCAGCATCTTCTCTTTTTACTCCTACTTCTTGTAGTCATCTTTCTTAACCTCTCTCCAGATTTTTTTGCATTCAATTGCTCACTTTGGATGTCCAATAGGCACCTCCAAAATAATGTTCCCCAAACAGAATTCCTGAATTCCCCTCTCAAACTACCCCCTCTTAGATGATGGCAGCTTCATTGCTTCTGCTGTCAAGGCCCAAAACCTTGGAGACAACCTTGGCTCCTCCTTTTCCTCTCACATGCTTCACCTACTCTATCAGGGAATATTGCTGGCTCTATTTTCAAAAATATGTCCGAAATCGGACCATTTTTCAATTCTCCATTCTCGTCTCACCCATCATTATCACTAAATATTCTGCTATGGCCACCTGGCTTCCACAAACATGCTAAGCATGTCTTTTAGTCCTAGGACCTTTGTACTGGCTGTTCAGTCCTGGATGCTCTCTCTCAGCCACATGATCAACTCCCTCATCTCTACTTTGCTTTTTTTTGTTTGTTTTCCCTCTTAAATGTCTCTTTCACTATAAAGCATACTCTGACCACCTAGTGAAGAGATGTGACATAACCACCTTGCACCCTGGATCTCTTTCTTCTACTTTTCCTTTTGTCTAAATCACCAAATACCTTCTAACACACTGTATAGTTTCTTATTTATTATATTTATTGTTTATTTATATATTCATTGTTTATCTGAGTGGATACCAGCAGATGGGTCAGATTCATAAGAACATTTGCTTTATCATGTAACTTTCTTTCTGATTATAAAAATGCTATGTTATAGAAATTTGAAACATGACAAAAACTATAAAGAATAAAAGAACCCATAATCCCAACACCAAAGATAGATATTGTTAATATTTTAATGTATTGTCTTTCTCATCCTTCTTTCCCACAAAGATTTGTCTTTTCCTAGTTGCCATCATATTAAGGGTATGCCATCATATTAAGGGTATGCCATCATATTAAGGGTAACCCTGCAGCACTGAAGAGTTTTAGGTGTATGGGCCGGTGGGGGTACAATATGATAGCATTGTAGAAGGATCTAAGGGCAAAGAGCCCATATAAGAAAATCTGATATAAACTCTAGGTGCATGGAAAGAAGAGAAACAGGAGGCAAGCATCATCAGGAGGAAGCTTGTAACACTTCAGCTGACAGGTCAAAACGGTCTGGACAGGCAGTGTCAGGGGTCACACTGATAATAATGACAAATTTCATTAAACGTGAGATTCAAAGTATTACATAGTATTCTTAAATAGATCTAGTCAAGTTTTTTTAAATTTCACTTTGAAAAACTACTATAATGCCAATGAGAAGGAAGTGAAATCAATATTTTTGTTATTGATCAGAATGTGTGAACATGGTACAACCTTTATGGAGAGTATTTTAGCAATTTTTATCAAGTATTTAAAAGATCTCCATGTGATTTGACTTTATAATTCCATACCCTGGAATCTAAACTACATATGGAAAAAGTTTTATGCAGATAGATGATGAAGACAGCTTCATGATAACTATAGAGAAATAGAAATGATTAACGAGTTAAACAAATTATAATTTTTACATAATGATATAAATTTATATCTTAAAGGATTTGTAATCAGGTGGAAATTGCTCCAGGTGTGTTTATTTTTTTTAAATGGTGCTGGGGATTGAACTCAAGGCCTTGTGCACGCAAGGCAAGTGCTCTACCAACTGACATATATCCCTTGCCCCCAGATGTGCTTTATAATATAAATATAAGTATAAAGCAAGATTGTTTCAGGTTTGACTATAACCATTAAAGGAAAGACACATGGAAATAATCTTTAGTGAAATTCACCAAAAAAAATTGTGGTTTTTTTTCTGGAGTAAAACTTAGATGATTCATTCATTCACTTAAATTACTTTTTTGACTCCAAATTTTCCCATGAGTATGTACTCCATTTAGAGAGGAATTTACCATTTTAGATATGTGAACTTGAATTCTAAAAAATGTTGTAAGTCAGTGGCAACACTCACCTGAGTAGATACCAGCAGATGGGTCAGGAGAACTATAAGAAGAATGTACCACTTTTTCTTCTCACAAGCATCAAAAAATATAATGCCCCAGAACACGTGCAGCAATATGATAACCAGCGTCATGAAAGCTGAAAGACAGTCAACCATTAGTGCCCAGTCCTACAGACACCAAAGGCTGCTGAACATCCTTTCATTGTGCACAGGAATGCAAAAAAGAGAATTGTGAGTCTAAACAGCTTTTCCCCAATTAGCCTTCAGCCCTACTTAAGAAAGACCTTTTTCAATTAAAAACAGTAACTTCTGTTGAGACAAATCTTCTATTACTAAGGTAGGATTTCTCTTTAGAAGTTTTCTTAAAAGGTCAATGGGAGAATAAAATAATATTAGAATTATAATTATCGAAGATTATTTTTAAGCAACTGGCACTAAATTTGATCAGTGTCCACAGATTTTCTTGGGAATACAGCTTCTGTGTGTGTTATGTGTATCCTATGTTCTGGATAACATTCTTTTATTTAAAAGTGGAAAAATTTAATATATACTGCAAGTTTTAGCATTAAAAAAAGTTATATAAATTTCTTATCTGGTCACACAATAAAGAGATCATTAGCACCCACCGGGAGAAATCTAAGTCTGGCAGTTCTCTTTCATACTGCTGGCAGATAAACAATCTAGCATTACTAATAAAGTGGAAAACATTCATTCTCTATTTCAACTCCAAGATCTATGTTATAAAACAGTTAGTTCTCAACCAATAGATCACCAGAACCTGAGGACTTACAAGAAGTGCAAAATACTGGAATCTACCACACACCTAATATAGAAACAATGGTGCTAAGAGCCAATCAATTCCAGTTTAAATAGCCTTCCAGGTCATTCTGATACATGGCCAAGTTTGAGAACCACTGCTCTAGAGAAATTCTTACAAATATGCAAAGGAGATATAAACACAAATTTATACCAGCACCATTCGTAATAACAAACAAAAAACGTTCATCATTACCTGAATGGTGTATTCACACAATGGACTACTATATGTGATCTAAATATAAATTATCTCAAGAATATAATGTTGAGACAGAACTGTGACCACCCACAGAGCAGGCCCAGCGGCCTGCTGAGGGGCAGAGCCGCCCCCCACCCCCCGCGCCTGCCGGGTAGGCGGAACTGTGACCACCGACAGAAAAGGCCCAGTGGCCCGCGGAGGGGCAGAGCTTCCAGTCACTCCTGCAAGGTAGGCGGGCCTGCAACCCACCGGCAGAAGAGGAGCAGCGGCCTGCTGAGAGGCAGAGCCACCCCCTCCCCCCGCGCCTGCAAGGTAGACGGAACTGTGACCACCATCAGAACAGGCCAGACCTGCAACCGACAGACAGAACAGGCCCAGTGGCCTGAGGAAGGGTAGAGCCGCCCCGCCCCCCGCGCCTGCAAGGTAGGCGGACCTGCGACCCACTGGCAGAATAGCCCCAGAGGCCTGCAGAGGGGCAGTGCCGCTGCCTGCACCTGCAAAGTAGGCAGAACTGCGACCACCGACAGAACAAGCCTAGCGGCCCGCAGAGAGACAGAGCTGCTGCCCGCGCCTGCAAGGTAGGCGGACCTGCTACCGACCGGCAGAGCAGGCCCAGTGGCCTGCCGGCGTGGTAGGCACATTGCCCCAATTGGAGGAGGGGCAGAGCCGCCGCCCGCGTCTGCGAGGGAGACTTTGCAACTATACAAGACCAATATAAATATATAGGGGGAAAATTCAATAGCACAACAGTTTCACCAAGTAGAAAGGAACGCGAACAGTATGAAGAGACAAGGAAAGAAAGGACCACAAGCAATGCAGGTCAACTCAACGTTAGAAGAGGTAATAGCTGCATCAGATGGAATGTCAGATAAAGAATTCAGGATATACATGCTTCAGATGATCTGGAGTCTCAAGGAAGACATCAGACAGCAAAATCAGACAATGAAAGATCACTTCAACAATGAATTACATAAACAAATCCAAGAAGCAAAAGATCAACTATACAGGGAGATAGAGGTTATAAAAAATAAACAAACAGAAATCCTAGAAATGCAGGAAGCAATAAACCAACTTAAAAACTCAATTGAGAATACTACCAGCAGAGTAGAACACTTAGAAGATAGAACATCAGACAATGAAGATAAAGTATTTCAACTTGAAAAGAACATAGACAGCTCAGCAAGACTGTTAAGAAACCATGAGCAGAACATCCAAGAAATATGGGATAACATCAAGAGACCAAATTTAAGAGTCATTGGGATACAGGAAGGGACAGAGTTTCAAACCAAAGGAATGAGCAATCTATTCAATGAAATAATACGAGAAAACTTCCCAGACTTGAAGAATGAGACAGAATCCCAAATCCTAGAAGCCTACAGGACGCCGAATGTGCAAAATCATAAGAGACCCACACCTAGACACATTATAATGAAGATGCCCAACATACAGAATAAGGAGAGAATTTTAAAAGCTACAAGAGAAAGGAAGCAGATTACATTTAGGGGTAAGCCAATCAGGATAACAGCTGATCTTTCAACACAGACTCTGAAAGCTAGAAGATCCTGGAATAACATATTTCAAACACTGAAAGAAAATGGGTTCCAACCAAGAATTGTGTTTCCAGCGAAATTAAGCTTCAGGATGGAAGATGAAATTAAAACCTTCCACGATAAACAAAAGTTAAAAGAATTTGCAGCTAGAAAACCATCTCTTCAAAACATCCTTGGCAAAACATTACAGGAAGAGGAAATGGAAAATAACAATGAAAACCAACAGTGGGAGGTAGGACACTAAAGGGGGGAAAATAATCAAAGTGGAAAACAAACCATGTTTAGTAACATAAATAAACAAATATGGCTGGAAGAACAACCCATATCTCAATAATAACCCTAAATGTTAATGGCTTAAACTCACCAATCAAGAGACACAGGCTAGTAGAATGGATCACAAAACAAGACCCAACAATATGCTGCCTACAGGAGACGCATTTGATAGGAAAAGACATACATAGGCTGAAGGTGAAAGGTTGGGAAAAATCATATCACTCATATGGACTTCGGAAACAAGCAGGAGTGTCCATACTCATATCAAATAAAATAGATTTCAAGCCAAAGTTAATCAAAAGGGATAAAGAGGGACACTACATACTGCTTAAGGGAACCATACACCAACAAGACATAACAATCATAAATATATATGCCCCAAACAATGGTGCAGCTATGTTCATCAAACAAACTCTTCTCAAGTTCAAGAGTCTAATAGACCACCATACAATAATCATGGGAGACTTCAACACACCTCTCTCGCCACTGGACAGATCTTCCAAACAAAAGTTGAATAAGGAAACTATAGAACTCAATAACACAATTAATAACCTAGACTTAATTGACATATATAGAATATACCACCCAACATCAAGCAGTTACACTTTTTTCTCAGCAGCACATGGAACCTTCTCAAAAATAGATCATATATTATGTCACAGGGAAACTCTTAGACAATACAAAGGAGTAGAGATAATACCATGCATCCTATCTGATCATAATGGAATGGAACTGAAAATCAACGATAAAAGAAGGAAGGAAAAAGCATACATCACTTGGAGAATGAACAATAGGTTACTGAATGATCAATGGGTTATAGAAGACATCAAGGAGGAAATTAAAAAATTCTTAGAGATTAATGAAAACACTGACACAACATATCGGAATCTATGGGACACATTGAAAGCAGTTCTAAGAGGAAAATTCATTGCTTGGAGTTCATTCCTTAAAAAAAGAAAAAAACAACAAATAAATGATCTCATACTTCATCTCAAAATCCTAGAAAAAGAAGAGCAAAACAACAGCAAAAGAAGTAGAAGGCAAGAAATAATTAAAATCAGAGCTGAAATTAATGAAATCGAAACAAAAGAAACAATTGAAAAAATTGACAAAACTAAAAGTTGGTTCTTTGAAAAAATAAACAAAATCGACAGACCCTTAGCCATGCTAGCGAAGAGAAGAAGAGAGAAAACTCAAATTACTAGCATACGGGATGAAAAAGGCAATATCACAACAGACACCTCAGATATACAGAAGATAATCAAAAATTATTTTGAATCCTTATACTCCAATAAATTAGAAGATAGTGAAGGCATCGATAAATTTCTTAAGTCATATGATCTTCCCAGATTGAGTCAGGAGGATATAGACAACCTAAACAGACCAATTACAATTGAGGAAATAGAAGAAACCATCAAAAGACTACCAACTAAGAAAAGCCCAGGACCGGATGGGTATACAGCAGAGTTTTACAAAACCTTTAAAGAGGAACTAATACCAATACTTTTCAAGCTACTTCAGGAAATAGAAAAAGAGGGAGAACTTCCAAATTCATTCTACGAGGCCAACATCACCCTGATACCTAAACCAGACAAAGATACTTCAAAGAAAGAAAACTACAGACCAATATCTCTAATGAACCTAGATGCAAAAATCCTCAATAAAATTCTGGCGAATCGGATACAAAAACATATCAAAAAAATTGTTCACCATGATCAAGTAGGATTCATCCCTGGGATGCAAGGCTGGTTCAATATACGGAAATCAATAAATGTTATTCACCACATCAATAGACTTAAAAATAAGAACCATATGATCATCTCGATAGATGCGGAAAAAGCATTCGACAAAGTACAGCATCCCTTTATGTTCAAAACTCTAGAAAAACTAGGGATAACAGGAACATACCTCAATATTGTAAAAGCAATCTATGCTAAGCCTCAGGCTAGCATCATTCTGAATGGAGAAAAATTGAAGGCATTCCCTCTAAAATCTGGAACAAGACAGGGATGCCCTCTCTCTCCACTTCTGTTCAACATAGTTCTCGAAACACTGGCCAGAGCAATTAGACAGACGAAAGAAATTAAAGGCATAAAAATAGGAAAAGAAGAACTTAAATTATCACTATTTGCAGATGATATGATTCTATACCTAGCAGACCCAAAAGGCTCTACAAAGAAACTATTAGAGCTAATAAATGAATTCAGCAAAGTGGCAGGATATAAAATCAACACGCATAAATCAAAGGCATTCCTGTATATCAGCGACAAATCCTCTGAAATGGAAATGAGGACAACCA